TGGAAGCTAAGACAGAGCTTTTGAAGTTGAAGAGTTAATGGATGTTGGAATTTCCAAAGCTCCATGGAGGATCATGGTTTTCTTAGAGTATCCTTGGGTCTGTTTTCAACATCTTTATTAACCAAGTTGACTCTCTACCTTTTAAACTAGATTGTTAAATAGCTTTTGCATCTCTGTGATTACTCTTTGATTTTCTTTTGTGTATTTGAGTCTTAGCCTAGGACTAAGGCAACTATACTATCTGAGAGCTTTGATTTTGGATATTCTCTTCAGGTTTGCTCTTTAATGTTTTTGTCCAACACATTTTGGACATTTGCTTATGAAATTTTGGGTTTAGGTCTATTTTTAGAGGCTCCTTTGTCTAGAAGGGTTTTATGGCGGGATGTACTATTATATACTATGTATATACTTCTTTCATCCTACAAAAGTTCTTACATTCTGAGTGTTTTTTGTCAAATATTACAAACCTTGAGAAAAACTACTCAACTATTTATTTTTATTTTTTTACAATAAAATAACTGAAGCTCTTGAATTGCAACGAAAAAAATAATCTCTTGGATCATAATTGGAATGTTGTATACAACAACGTTTTCTAGAATTTATGTTTATCTTTCTATTTTACTAATATTACGATATACGGAGTATTGATGAGTGAAATATACTACCAGAGTATATACATTATACCCACTATTTATACAAATTTGAAATTTAGTGACTTATTATTTAATCCCTACTTATGAATTATTTATTTATTTCAATATGTTTATCCTCAGATAATATTTTTGCCGTGCATCGCACAGGTTAGAATCTAGTAATCAACATCAGCAAACTCAGAAAACTTCCATAAAATTAGGGTCTGTGGGGGGGGGGTGTATGCAAAGTCGTGGACTCTATTATGATGTATCGTAGAGAGACAATTTCCAAGAGACGTTCAAATACAAAAGTACGAACAAAGTATGAACAAAAACAAAAGTAGCATCCAAATCGACTGTATAAACTAGACATTAAAGCACAAAACATAAAAAGGACACGAGCACACGCCACATTCCAAGGCATAAAAGCACCCCAGCATAAATTATAAAAAATAAAAAAAAACCCACAGATCTTCCACCACCGGTACTCCTTTTAATGCCCTCTACCCGTAATCCTCTCGCATCTTCTTCTAGGGGGCCTCAACACCCCTCATCATAATGTGCCAAACCAACCACCCCAGCATAGTTTATCGCATGTTATCCTCCACGAGTACTCCTGCCATCTTACCCCAAATAACCTCATTTTGGATCTTATATTCTTATCCATCTTTGTACCACCACACATCCATCTCACCATCCTCATCTCTGCCACTTGAAGCTGACAAATGTGAGTTTTCTTCATTGCCCAACACTAAACTCCATATAATATAGTCAATCTAACCACAACCGGATATAAACTTACTTTCAAGCTAGACGTTATCTTGCTGCAAAGCACAACTGAAGCTAGCCTCCATTTTTCTCAAGTGGCTCTAACACAATGAACAACATCCCCATCAATCTCCTAATTGACTTAGATCATCGAATCAAGGTACTAAAACTAGTCTCTTTAAGTTGGCACTCGGTACGAACGAATCATTATTTCCACTCTCGACTCAGTTACACACTCAATCATGTAGTGTTCAACGTACTTAGTCGTAACCCTGCTCAATCTAAAACCTTTGAACTCAAACCACTAACGTCAGACTTCCAACTTATCATTGAGTCCCTCACGTGCCTCATAAATCAATACAATGTCGTCGGAAATAGCACTAGCATGCACCAAGGTACATCCCACCAGTTACGCTGCGTGAGAAAATTTCATCACCAAAAAAATAAACAAGAAAGAACGAACCCTTGGTGCAATGTGTAATCCCATCTCCATAGTGAAGGGATCAGTGTCCGACAGCCCTCACTTTGGTCCTTGCCCCGACATATGTGCCTTTCACCACACACATGTATGCAACCAAAATCCCTTTAGACTTGAGACACTGCCACAAGATCTCTCTTGGAACCTTTCCAAGTCAATAAATATTATGCTTAGTTCTCTCTTCTGGTCCCTAAACTTTTCAACCGTTCTCCTTATGAGGTGAATGACATCCTTAAAGGCCATGGAGTGTGCCACAGCGGGAAGGAAAAGGGGAAGGCGGGAAGGGACAGGAACACCCCCCCACCCCCACCCCCCACCCCCGCGAGAAGGGGAAAGGCATGGTGCCCTTCACGCTTTTCCCGTGGGTAACGGTCCAAAAGTTTTACTTATAAAAAACTTAGCCGTTAGGTTCTGAAAAAATCAAAAAAATTCAAAATTATTACTATTTAAACACAAAACTCAACTCATATTTTTCACACATTTCCCATCCATTTGTTTGAGTTATGGTGTTATTTTTGTTAAAGAATTTTTATATATTTGAGTGTAATGGATCCATTCCAACCACCGGTGTCTTCCTCCAACTGTCCATTTCCTTCATTTGCAGCTTACTCTCAAGGGCCGAGACATCTTTCCAAATGCAACAATTTCAAGAATGGCAACAAATGCAGTGGCAACAATTCCAGAACCTCGGGTTAAAGAAAAAGCCAGAGCGGAGAAGCTTGAGCAAAGACGCAAAGAAAAAGAGGCGCAACTTGCCCTCGAAAAGCAACATCTGGTGCAAGAGGATTTCAAAATCATGACCACCGACGTCGAAAATCTTCCTCCGAGGGAACATGCGGTGGTTTTGATGATGAAAGATAAAATAACCCTGAGGTGGCTTGCAGGTGCAGCTGGTTACGCTCAAGCAGGGATGTTTAGTTTTTTATGTTTATTTTTAATATGTATTCTCATTTTTCTTTTAAAAATGTATTGTTTTATTCATTATTATTATATTTCTTAGTCGCACTATTATTGTAATTCTTATTTAAATTTTGTATTTTCATAAAATGTTCAATTTATATTTCTTAAAATGTTCAATTATTTTATAATTTTAATGTTTTTAGTTTATTTATTTGAATTAAAATAAGTATTAAAAAATAATATCAAAATTGAAGGGGAAAAGGGGAAGCATTTCCATGGAAGGGAAAAGGAAAGGAAAGGGAAAGTAAAAGCTGACGTGACACTGAGTTGGAAGAAGGGGAAAAGGGGAAAAAAGGGCACGCCCATGGCCTAATGGATTGGTTAGACATGAAACCAAATCGATTTTCAAAATTGTTCATCTGCTTCCTCAGCCTAGTCTCACATGTGAGAGTCTCATGAATTAACTTCTTCATTATTTTAATAAATATTATCCCTCCATCTCATTAAAATCATTACATTTTCAACAACATGATGAACATACATGTATACAACTTTTAAAATTAAACACTATGGAATTTACCAAATACGTCAATATTTTAAACTTTCTCATTACATTTATCTAACAATAGTTATGGCATACTATTTCTTGTAAATGACAAAAAAAATTTAGTTCAAATTCAATTCTTTTTTTCTAGGGAAAAAGAAGAGTTTCTCTATTTGTGTGATTGTATGTTTGTCTGTCCTTGAGTGTCTCTCTTTTATTTGTCTGTGTGGAAAATCATACAAAGACGAGTGATGTTTGTGTAGACGTGCAGAGTACTTCTCAACGTCACCACACTAAATATCAACCTAATGAACTTATTAACCTTTTCATTATTTTAATTTGAAATACTTTTTTCTTAAAAAAAACATTAAATTGATGAATGTTTTAACCTTTTTCTTTTTGAACAAAAAAATGTTTAGAAACATAACCTCTCATTATTAGACAATTTCAAACTATTATGGGTAGTTGAATAAATGTAATTAATTTAAGCCTGCAGCGCATAAGACTAGAGCATGGTATGTAGATAATCCTTACATGCGTTTTGTAGGGGCTAGAAGATGTCTTGATTTGGCTCCAACTTCAAGATTTTTCAGCACTTGAATCCCCAAACAGGTCATAGACCTCAAAACTTCTCGTGCCTTGAGTTCCATGCCTACTGACCTGTACAAATGGAGAGCCACACTCATAATGAACTTATCTGTCTCAACGGACCCTCTTATTCTCTCAAAAAAGGATATGCCTTCCTCTACACGGCCACTTTCCATGTAACCTCTGAGCATACTGCGGTTGCACTGAACATTGGGTTGTAACCCAGCTTTTCCAAGCTCACCAAAAATCCTTTCGCATTCCTCGACAAGCCCCTCTTTGGCAAGCACAGTTAGCAAGACATTGAAATGAGCGCAAGAAAGGGCAATTCCTTCTTTTTGCATTGAAGCAATAGCCTTTTCTGCCTTGTTGAATGCTGATCCCACCGAGTATGCTCGGGTAAGTGCAAGGTAAGTAGTTGAGTTGGGTTGAAAACCATCTCTCCGCATGCTATGGTAAACTTCTTCTGCTTCATGATAAGATCCAGCAGAAGCATATGCATTTATCATAATGCTGTAGCACAACTACATATCACAATATATTAGACTTCAGAGAACTGTGGACAAAAAACCAAAGCTAAAAATCTAGCAGTACAAGTACACTTACATGACCAGGTTTTATCCCTTCTTCCTGCATTTTGCTAAATAGAGTAGATGCTTCATGAACTTTCCCTACAAATTAATCAAAGATGAGCTATACACATTTTAAAAACAAGCAATTGGGTATGATACATGGAAATGGTAAGCAATGAGCCTATTTCCTTAAGGTCTTCAATAGATGATGGGTTTTGATATGGAAGGCTTAAGGGCTTGGTCTTCGTCGTGTTATATGCTCCTTTTTTAAAATCACATTTGATGTTAAATGATGTAGCCCAAGAACTACAGCAAATTTATTTTGCTTTTCAATCACTGTTTGGTAGAGTTGGGAGGATAAAAAGTTATTAATGTATCTATTGAAAAGGTCAACTTGTGTTGGAGTCCTCGAGACTTGTGATTATCAAATAATTGAAGTAAATGATTCTCTTTCTCATTACATACTTATTAAAAATTGAATATGAAGAAACAAATGCAAAGCTCTATAACATTAAAAGTTAGAAAACAGATGGAGACTTTTGAGATCTTGTGAAGAATTGGAAAATTATTATAATAATGAAATACGGAGTATGTGATTGGTGTCTGCTTTCTGAAGCATTCCTTTTACCAAGATACGGAGTACATACTAAGCCCTCCAGAATCTTACCCTTCAAACCTCTCAAAAAACTTCCATCCAAACAACCCCTTGAATATTGATCTACAATAAGAGCAGCCCAGACGAGCAGCCCAGACTTCTGGTTCTTTATCTATTTTCCTACATTAGATAACATCAATGTTGAGGAGGAAAGAGCGGCGTTACGAGTGGAGTACAAGAAGGCATGTAAAGAAGCTAAGTTAGAGGTTACGAGGGCAAAGAATGCCGCCTTTGAATGCCTCTACAAGGATATAGAGGAGAAAGGCGGTGTTAATCAACTGTTCCGGCTTGCCAAGGTGCGTGAGAGGAAGGCCCGTGATCTGGACCACGTGAGATGCGTGAAGGGCAGCGATGGTAGAGTGTTAGTTGAGACTGCCAAGGTGGCTAAGCGCTGGGGGGAGTACTTTTGTGAACTCTTAAATGCGGGAGGAGACCAGAGGCTAGATCTTGATGAGCTAGGCAGTCCGAGGCGTCTCGTGTGTATTGACGGCGCATTTGCCTGGAAGAGGTGGCTCGGGCTCTCCGGGGGATGCGTAGTGGGAAAGCTCTGGACCAGATGAGATTCCGGTGGAGTTTTGGAAGCATGCGGGTCGTGGTGGGTGGGTTTGCTTAACCAAACTCTTCAATGTTATCTTCCGGACAGCTAGGATGCCTGATGAGTGGAGGGAGAGTCTCTTGGTCCCTCTGTTTAAAGGCAAGGGTGACATTCAGAGTTGCGAGAATTACAGAGGCATCAAACTGCTTAGTCACACCATGAAGGTTTGGGAGCGAGTCATTGAGTATAGGGTGCGGAAAGGGGTATACATTTCTGAGAACCAGTTTGGTTTCATGCCTGGCAGATCGACTCGACTACAGAGGTCATTCACCTCGTGCGGAGGTTAATGGAAAAGTATAGGGCTAGGAAGGACCTTCATATGGTGTTTATTGATCTTGAGAAGGCATACGATAGGGTGCCAAGAGAGGTTTTATGGAGGTGCCTTGAGTCGAGAGGAGTTCCCATCGCGTACACTCGCGCGATCAAGGATATGTACGGTGGGTCTATGACTAGGGTAAGGACCTCCGGGGGCGACTCTGAGTCATTCTCGGTTGGGATGGGGTTGCACCAGGGTCTACCCTTAGCCCTTTTTTGTTCACCTTGGTGATGGACGTCCTGACACAAGGTGTTCAAGAAGGGATCCCATGGTGCATGCTTTTTGCGGATGATATTGTGCTTAATGACGACATGCGTGAGGGACTAAACGATAAGTTGGAACTATGGCGCCTTGCCCTTGAGACCAAAGGATTCAGAATAAGTAGGAACAAGACTGAATACATGGAATGTCGTTTCAGCGGTCGGGAAACGGAATCAGAAGTGGAAGTTAGGATTGACTCTCACCTAGTACCTAAGGTAGACAAGTTTCGATATATAGGCTCGGTAATTCACGCTGATGGGGAGTTAGACGGGGATGTTGGACATCGTGTTGGACTGGCATGAGCCAAATGGCAGTTGGCTTAAGGGGTGTTGTGTGATACGAAGATTTCGCCCAGGATGAAAGGTAAGTTCTACCGGTCCGTAGTCAGACCTGCTATGTTATATGGGGCAGAGTGTTGGGCGGTTAAGAAGACTCATGTGCGTCGTCTGCATGCAGCGGAGATGCGGATGTTACGGTGGATGTGTGGGAAGACAAGGTTGGATAGGATTTCGAACGAAGTTATCCGACGTTATGTAGGCATGGCGCCGGTGGAAGATAAGCTGCGGGAAGCGAGGTTGAGATGGTTTGGTCATGCGAGACGGCGGAATGCTGACGCCCCTGTACGAAGATGCGAGAGGATTACGGTTATCGGGGGAAGTAGGGGAAGGGGTAGACCTAGGAAGAATTGGAAGGAGGTGATTAGGCAGGATTTAAGAATTAGGACTTCTCACCCTGAGGATATGGCTTTAGATAGGAATATTTGGAGAACTAGGATTAGAGTAGCTGGATAGGGGCCCGGTGCCTGAGAGTTTTTTGTAGTGTGTTTTGTTTGGTTGGAATCTTTTGCTATTGCTTGCAGGACTTTGATTCCATTGTATTTGGTGCTTTATCTGTATTTTATTGTGCCCTATCATTTTTTTGTGCAGTTTGAGCCGGAGGTCTCTTGGAAACAGCCTCCCTACTTTCGAGTAAGGGCAAGGTCTGCGTACACCCCCCAGACCCTACTGTAGTGGGATTCAACTGGGTTGTTGTTGTTGTTGTTGTTGTTGTTGTTTGTTGTAGATAACATCAATGAATAATAGATTCCTGCAAATGGAGAAACTTACGAGCCTTTCCATGGTAGCTTATCATATTGGTATAGGCCTTTTCATCGAGAGGTACTCCCCTGCTCCGAGCGATGTTAAACATCTCCACCGCTTTATCCAGGTTTCTACCCCATCCATACACACTGCATACAAACTAAATCTATTAGATGACAAGGATGAAATCTTTAATTAATCTGTAGGTCTATACTTTAGGATCCATGCACTAGCCTGATCATAGTGCTATATGTCTGAATTGAAGGATTAATCTTCAATGAAACCATGCGATCATTAATGCTGACTGCAGAGTGTAACTTGCCTAGATGCCGAATTTTATATCAATAGGTCTCATTCAAATGCATTTACTTTTCTCATGGAGTAAAGGTACACACTGGAGAAAGGAAAATCAACCTGCCGATAGCATTGCCTTGATAAATGTATTATACGCCACAGTGTCAGGCTCAAAATTGGCATCAAAAGTACTATGTATGACATCCTCTGCTTCCTTATATTTGGCTGCGGATAATATGTAAATTGACACTTCATATAATGCTTTATTGTAAAATGTGAGGTAAAAAAATATGTTTGGCATGGATACTTTCCATTAAGGAAATCAAACTTTTTACTTTAGTTTGTGAATTTACAGAAAATCATCCAACTCAAAGATTTCTAGTCTTACCATAATTAGTCAACGCATTCACGAGCATGCTAGTGGCAACAGGACTCATAGCATGCCCTTTCTTAAACTCTTCCTTATAAAACAAATATGCTTCGACAACAAGCAATGTAGACCATATGCGTAGTTAGTAACTTAGTATATCTTCACAATTTAAGGCACACCTCAGACGATGACGACGTTTCTAAAAAAGTCGGACAGAGTTGAATACAACGAAAGGTGTGTTTATATAGTATACACGTCATCGTCTAAGGAGTCCGAACGTTGGATCGAAGTAATTGTTGAGTTCTTCTAAGACTGCTTTTGACATGTCGCCTACATAGAAATCATGTCAGCAAAAATCAAGCATCATAATATTTTTTTCCCATAAATGCAAATTTTGGGTTTGGGGGGGGGGTGGTGGAATTGATCAATGGACACAGAATACTTGATCTCAATACATAAATTATTATTCGAGTCTAAAGCATTTACTTTGATGCTAATGCATGTACTAACTACACGGGTTTTATGTTCCTTTTTCCCTTAGTGTAACATGTTATACGGGTTATGAATTCTCAGTCAAAAAAGTCTTCATAAGTTTGCTGTTTTTAAGATACAAGTAAAACAAAATCGAAATACTCCCTCCGTCCCTGTATATTCGTCCAGTATTCCTTTTTGGGCCGTCCCATTATATTTGTCCACTTTCTATATTTAGTAAACAAGTTTAAATGAATTTCCAACTTTATCCTTCTCACTAAATCTCATCACCTCGTTTAGTTCCCCCACATCACCTCATTTACTACCCCACGGCCCCACCCAATTTACACCCCCCCAACCCCACACATTTATCCTTGCTGTTTCGTCTTCTTCATCTTGCTTACACTACCACATCTAAAAAAAAATTATATCTAGATGGGATTCGAATCTGGTTCACTCTCCACTTATGAATTTGTGTACTTAATCTCTCAAACTGACTTTGATGAAGAGATAAGCTTTGATGATGATGGTTTGACCGTCTTCAATCCAGAGTTCCATGTGGTGCCGAACAGCTTCTGACGGCCTCCGATCTGATCACTCTGCCTCAGGGGACTGTACTACTGACCCTAGAACACGGGTGGAGCCTGGTGATGACTGCTGCTGGGAACGGCAGCATCTTTAAGGTGTTGATGATGATCAATTTTGTGAAGATCTGGAGGCTTGATGCGGTGCTTAACGGACGGATTGCTGTTCATGGATTGTCAAGGCCCTTTCTGCGAATCAATTGACATCTGATGGCCTAGTGCACGAACCACAGACCATTGTTTTTTTTACTTTAAGGGCATTTAACACATTTGATAACTTTTAACCTCCCTCCTTGGTATTTGTGCCACTTTGAAAGTGGACAAATAAAGAGGGACGGAGGGAGTACTTTTAAAGGGAAGATATACTTGAAGTCGTAAATTTGGAAGAAATATACTACTCCATCCGATCCAAAATAATACCGAGTAGTCTCTTATGACTAAAACTGAATTCTTTTTCAATCCAATTTATTTAAATAATGGTACGAAATTTTTAAATAAAACTTATATATTAAAACACTACATCAAATTCTCTATAACACAAGAGGTGACATGACTTATTTTTACAAATAAGTAACGAAAATAAGTAAAGAGAGAAGAAAAAGTTTGACCCGTGAATAGTGGAGTGAGACGCTTATTTTGGGACGGAGGGAGTATATCAACTTTTGGTCCTCAAATCTATAGCACAGGCAGAACACATTTATTTAATTTTTCTATAAACAGAAACATTACAAGCCAAGACAATTGAAATGAAAAGTCATTACTATTTCACGATCTAGTGAAGGGGTATCAAAGAAAACATGTTATTATTACCTTCTGTGGCAAAGCTCTTCAAAACTTGACTGGCTATTGACAAGCCATTTGCAGCCTTGAGCAGAATTAACAATATCTCTTGTGCCTTCACAGTATTCCCATCTGCCAGCATCAGGGTTAGGCTTAGCTTAAGAGCCATAGAACCATCCTGGTCCAAGGGCTTCAAAGCGTTTTCTACTTCAGCCAATCCGTCCCATGTTCCCCATGTGGTCATCAGCAGTGTTTGACAAAGTTTACTATCCTCAAACATCTTACTCGTACTAAGCTCTTCTAGCAACTTCTCTGTATCTCTTACCATTCCCTCTTTGCAATAAACCTTCAATACAGTCTTGAGAAGCTGTTCATCAAACTCTAACTGATATTTTCTAATTTGGAGGATAAAGTCCTTTGCTTTTTCATATAATCCCCGTCTCATATACAAATTGAGCATGGCATTGCAAGAAACAGAATCAGGAAGTTCAACCTTAGATAGAGCTGAAAAGGTAAGTTCAGCAGAGGGCAAATCTCCTTTAATGACATTACAATGTAACAAGACACTATATGCAAATCTTGAGCATAAAATGCCTTTCGACTTCATCAGCTCAATTAGTTTCAAAGCTTTCTCAACATTTCCAGCACCCAAATGGACTTGTGCCATTGTGGTATATGTTTTTTCATCACTAAGAATGCCTAGTTTCTCAATCTCGTCAAATGTGTCTTGAGCATCTTGATAAAGGCCTAGCTTGCCATATATTCGGATAAGTAAACCATATATGACCTCATCTGTGGTGATCTTATGCTCCTTCATTTCTGCAAAGAGGGAAAGGGCTTTAGAATAATCCTCATTCTTGTAACATGCTGTCAGAAGTGAAGCACATGTGAAATTGCTCGGAATGATTCCTTGTGATCTCATTTCATTATAAAGATCAAAAGATTCATTATGGCTACCACTCTTGGAATGAAAACTGATGAGAAGGCTATATGTTGCCTCGTCAGGAACGAATCCCAAAGTTTTCATCTCATTAAAAGTTGTTAAAGCTTCCTCAGCAAGACCACCTTTCACAAGGGAGGGAATAACAACTGTATATGTAAAATGATTGGGATGAACATGAGTATTGACCATATTTTTCCATATAAGGATCACATTCTCGTGGAGATTCTTTTTCTGCAGTGATGAAATCATAAAATTGAAGACTGAAGTGGGAAGTGTTATTCCCCTCTGTTGTACAGCAGAAAAGAGTGCCATCATAGCTTTGTGACGCCCCCATTTAGCATATGCACATAGCATTGTACCACAAGCAACTTCATCAGGTTCACACCCTGCTTCAAGCATTTCCAAAAAGGTCTGTTCAGCAAGTTCAATTTTACCCACTTGGCTGTATGCACGAAGAACAATTGTGTATGCAATCACACTAGGCTGATAGCTTAACTGTTCAAGAATAAATCTTACATTACACAAAAATTAATATTGTCTTCACAAATGGTAGCAGTGACAAAGAAAAAGAAGAAAACCCACTTCCTTTTTATGTCCCACTTTTTATCAAACCCAGACACAAATTAACACCACTATCCTCATTTTGACTTTCAATGAAGAAAATAATTGGAAAGAACTAACAAAACAAGTACGTAGCATATTTGGGGATTAATACTAAAAAGAAATTGGCATCATCATTGCGCATAATCCTTAAAATGAAAACAGAAATCCTGATATATATTGCAAAAATACTTAATGTTGTAGAACGGACGTGGCACGCAATATTAACACGCCATTAGAAATCAGAATTGCATCTATTGGCAGAGAGAACTTCTCTCTTTGTAATTACCTTTAAAAATTAAAGTTTGCCCCTTAAACTAGGTTTCTATGGTATTTATATCAATACTCAAATCCCAACAACAACCCAATATAATTCCAACATTCTTGGAACCTAGGGATCAAGATGAACACAGTTTTACCCCATTAAAAAACAGAGATGCTATTCCCCTTAGACCTCTGATACATTGTTGAATTTACTACCCAACAAGTCAGAATAAGTAAGAAGCACGAGCTTAATGTGCCATTTTGAGTTAGTCCATTATTTACCCGAAGCTAAAACATTGTCAATAATGACCGTTTTAACTCCATTCGCGATGGTAAAAACCCCACAACAACCCAGTAGAATCCCACAAAGCAATGGTAAATACCCAAAAGCCCAAGTTATAAAATAAAAAAATGAAGTTGAAAAGTTACAACCAGACCCGATAAATTCTTTAACTAAAAATAAAACAATTGAAGACGCCAATATCTCAAGTCCAGTGGCCATAAGATTTGGCTAGTTCACTTGCATGTTGCATCCCTCTCTCCCACCCGCAAGGAGCTCGACCCCGTGTTGACCTCTGAATACAAATGTAAATCATCATAATGCAAAAGGGATAAATCAGCAACATTAAACATCTTTGATAACCCCATATTGTTAGGTAATCCCACTGCATAGGCATTGCCATTTATCTTCTACACTACCTGATACACTCCGTACTTTCTTGGCTGCAGCTTATTGCATTTCCCAATTGAAATTTGTTCCCTTTAAAGACACACCATCGCCTGATCACCCAGACAACCACTGAAAATAACCGTTATCTTTGATGATTGTCAGCATCTGATTTGTATTTGGCATTGGCCCTTTGAATCATCTCCATAACCTCAGATGTGGTAGTTTGCCAATTCTCCTCAAGGCATCCAAATCCCTGCATTGCCAATTCTTCACATAGCATGCAAACCATCTGCTAATCCTAAACTGATTTCTCATATGCTTCAGAGACACAGACTGAGTACAGCACATATTCTTTCCCTATTAGATAAATACTCCCGCACTCTTAAAGCCCTTACAAATGAATAAAACTCATTGTCATATGTAGAAGCAATTGGCCTACACTGCCCCTACTCCACTGCCATCCCAGTCCACCCACCTCAAAGACCTCAAGGTCTTGTAAGTGCCAACAGAAGAGCACTAGATAGCTTTTCTTTCAATACTGCAAAACTAACTTCAACTTGCTCTCACCCCACTAAACCTTACCTTTCTTCATGCCTTCTGCAAGAAGGGCAACAATAGTATTAAAGCGCCTAGTAAACCCCTTATGAAAGCTTGCGAAGCCCAAGAAGCTTCTAAGCTCAATCCTAATTTTAGGGGCAGGCAACTCCCTCACAGCCTTTACATTCTCATCATCTACCATCATCCCTTCACTAGTGATGATGAAACCGAAGAATAGCATTAGCTTTGCCTTCTCATGAAGGATACTAGAATTTCTATCTCCATAGGACTCATCCTATGGTGTGGCAACATTTGCAATCTAGTTCCAGGCAGCAGCTCAATGGATGTCTCTCACCTATTACAAATCATAAGCACAGCTTCCTTAAACTATTCCAACACTCCATTCACACACATTGGCTCATCATCATTATTCCACCCCCCCGCTGTTCTGCAATGACCTTCACGACAAACACATGTACTACCCTAGACCAACTAACGGTTTCTGTTAAAGAGTATCCCACATCGGAAAAGTGTGAATAAAATAATGGGTATATAAGCACTTGAGTTGAACTAAGTAATCAATTGGATTCAATCTTTTAATGTGGTTCAGCCCAAGTATCTTATTGCCTAATCCAGTGATCCCTACCCATTCTAAATTCTATAGGCTTGTTTAACCCGATTGCTCGTCTCGAAGTCCATACCAGCGGCTCGTGGTCTTTTAGGTGTTGGCGCTCAAAAAAAATCAAGAAGATGGGAGTCAATTTGTAAGTGGTCAACCGGTTAGATTCAAAATGGCCCGGTCGTCTACTTTTGGGGGAGTGTTAAAGAGTATCTAACGTCGGAAAAGTGTGAAGAAAATAATGGGTATATAAACTCTTGAGTTGAACTAAGTAAACGATTGAATTCAATCTTTTAATGTGACTCAGCCTAAGTGTCTTATTGCCCAATCTAGTGATCCCTACCCCATCCTAAATTCTATAAGTTTCCTCTGTCTCTTTTCTTGAACAGGTAATGATCACAAAGGGCTGCTTCTCAGCTATATCAACTTTAGAGCTGTTTGTTACCCTAAGGAGCAGCAAAGTGTATATTACACCACCCTTCTCCAAACTATGCAAATTATCTTTCCCAATTGTGGTGCATCAGAATCATACCGCCAGGTTTTGCAGAACAACATTGGTGATGCATCCATGTCTAGAAAGTCAAAGTAGATTGTAGACCTCATCTCGGTACTTGCCAATGGACACTTGACACCTCTTCTTCACCTTTATCTTCTCATTCAACGGACTTTATCCACCCCATAACATAGGGTTAAATTTTCAACAGAGAGTTGTATTCGTCACAGCTCCCACCATCAACAAATCAAACGCCCATCCACCAATAGTACATCAAGTGTATTACAGTTTATGCCACTTAATATCATCCTCTTCTTCATAATTTGTTTAACATTAGGTTCAGACACCCCCCTCCTTTTCATCACACTTTACAATGTTCACACCTTTTCTGTTTGGGTACTCATTGGAACTGTGTCCAGACGGATTATAGTGTAACAATCACCCACCAGAGGTCTTGCCTAAGGGTCATTCTGAAATGAGATAAATTTAGCATCAATCGGCCTCTTTCCAGAAACCTTATCAACTTGAGAGAAGCTAGTGTTGCCTACTCCAAAAAAAATTCAGCAGTCCCCTGTTCAATATCTGGCAATCCAGTTTGGCCCAAATATCTAGTAATCATGTTTGGAATGGCTCAAACATTTGACATTCCCACAGGGGCTGTATTTTCTTTTAGGGTTGTGAATTTTTGTATTAATCCATGTTTGAAACATAAGTCGTTTCAACTTGAGGAGGAGTGCTCATGCATTATAAGGTTGAATACATTTCACACCTCATTCACACACACACACACACCACTTTCCTAGCATCCTCCTATTACCCTAGATAATGGTGTGTGCTTCTCATATTTCCTACGGACTACGGAGTATCAAACTATCAGTTTATATCATAAGCAATACTCCCTCTGTCTAAAATTAAGTTCCCATTCGTCAGGACGACCCAAAATATAATTCTCGTTTTTATTTAAAGATAGAGTTGTGTGGTTCATATTATTACCTTTTGCATAAATCTCAACCATACAAATTCACCTTTATTAAATTTTTGCAAAAACTAAATGGGAACTTTGACTTGAGATGGGTGGAGTACAATTCTTATCATTATCTCCTTCTAATACTAGTTTCTCTTTTATTGTGTTTCTACTATGTAATGGGTGACGGCCTACTAGCGCCTCAAATCACAATAACAGTAATTAACAGAGAGGACTTCTCTCAAATTGTAATTAACTAAAAAAATTTATAGCTTGCTCCATTAACTAGGGCTATAGGCTATTTAGATCAATACACACAGTCCCAAATTAATATATATATATATATATACATATTTATATATATACATATACATATACATACATACATATATATATATATATATATATATATCGACCAGTCGTTAACAGGTCGGGCTACGGTCTTTCACTACATATAAAACGATTGGAAACATCAAAATCTCAAGGCCAGCAACCCTAAGAATTGGCAAGTAGATTTGCATCAAGACTTACTTAAGGATGAAAAAATGCAAGAAGTTGAGACAGCACCTGCATTTTCATCCACGAGAAGAAGTCTCTGACTTGTCTCCAACCCTTTTGCTCTTTCAGCACAATGCACATCTCTCTGAAAGTAAACTTTGCAACAAAAGAACCCATCACTTTCCTCATGTCATACGACCCTTGAGGCTTTGAGGAAAGGCTCCGAACAACATTGATTGCCGCTAT